AAGCATAAATTCACAATAATGTCTTATTTTCACTTTTCTCTGGTTAAAGATATACTTCAAAGAAACAGCTGTATGCTTTTCTTCTTATCACTCTCTATAGACAAAACCATGAGACATTGAAGTGCCAAACCAGAATAATCAATGAGGAAAGTAAAAGTGTTTTGTTTCCAATACACAAACTTCCAGCCTCTGAGTAGCAGTGTTGTCTTTCCCTCTGTTGTTACAATTTTCTTTGTTGCTTTTTGTATCTTTTTTTATTCCAAGTTTTAAAAAAGTCAAATTCTTGAATGAAATAGAGAAGAAAAAGGGAAAAACACATGCAGTAATGAAGAAGGAGAATTTTAGTCCATAGGTTGCAAAAAATAAAAAAGAAGAAGAAAACTTAATCCCTTCAGTTTAAAAGGCTTGCATAAATTCCATCCATGAAAATAACATTTAAAAAGTAAATGTTCCAATGGTTTGAATAGTCCAAAACCATTCAAAGCTTAATTCTGTCACTTATTTCTTCTGTTCCCAAATCTAAATTAACTTAAGTTTTTTATATGTCTCTTTTAAAACAGTAAAAATTCCTCACAAGCTGGAAACACTTTCTCTTTCCATATCCTTCCATTTTGGAGCTGCCCTGACTTCATCAGCCTGATGGCTGGACATTTGTCGCCGACTTGAAGAACTTTTCCTGGATCGATCAGGGACTTTGCGATGTCCCTGAGATCAGCAAGACGTATTCTTCCTGTTCACCATCTCTGCAGGACGGTTTAGGTCCAATTGCACCACCAGCAAAAGTATCGCCTGCGGTCTCGGTGCATCGAGACCGCACAACCGTATCATCGCGACGTTGAATCCTCCTCCAGACTGACATTCTTCATTCTGAAGAAGATACTTGGATAAGCAGCAAAATGTTTCAAGCCAAAAAGAAAAGAAGTCCAGTTGCCATGAACACTCAAATTCCAGACTATGCACATTATTCTCCAATTTGCTTGCTAAATGTTGATGCAAAATTATTGACCACAGCGTTGTTATATACTCTGTCAGCAATATTGGTTTTCATCATCCATCCTGCACAATCTTGTTTTAAAAAACAAAATGTCAAGCATCTGATAATTGAGAAAAAATGTAATTAATGGTGGAGATTTTATTGAATGGCAGAAAAAGCCATTACTAATGGTACAACAGATTTTTTTTGAAACATATATCCTCTGAATGCAAATTTTCTCCTCCTTTATGAATTGGATCAAATTGTGGTATTTAATTTCCTTTCCTGAGTTATTACAAACCTCTTTGACTGTTATGATGTGGAAGTATTCAAGGACATCTTTTATCTCCTCTAATTTTTAAATTGGTTAGTTCCATCAATCTGCTTGAAGTAACTTTAAGGTATAAACTTAGGGCTATCACTACTGTATGTCATTATATCAGTCTTGAAGTAAAATTCATTTATGCAGCATTTATCTTTCATAAATTTGATGAGATTTTACTATCAATAATATATTACTAGCATATAATATCATATTTGCACTGCTACTATTATGTACAAAATTGTCTAACTGACCAATTGGGAAGATTTTGACATGGTAGTATAACTCGGACCCTTATTCGCATATTTATACTTAGCTAGGTAATTCTAGTTTAAAAGGGCTCTTCTGGTAATCAAAAACAAGCAATTACATTAATAGGTTTTAGATCATATTATTGTCAATGAAATTGAAAATTTGAGTTATTGCAAGAAGAATCTGGAATGCATAAAATTGTTAAATGGCAGAATATTCAGTTAAAACATCTCTTTATTTCACAATTTGTCCAAATACATTAGAATTCTATAAACTCTCAAGTTACTTTTAGTATTGGAATGTTTTTCAGATGCTTTGATAGCTACCGTATTTTAAAATAAACAATTAAAAGCTTTTTTAAAAGGTAAAATTAAAAGGTATAATTTATTGAAATCTGCGTACTACTAAAACTTTTCTGTCTGTTTGTAACACTTAGCCACTGATGCAGTGGCTCAGTTGCTAAGATGCTGAGCTTATCGATCAGAAGGTCAGCAGTTCAGCGGTTCGAATCCCTAGTGCCATGTAACAGAGTGAGTTCCCATTACTTGTCCCAGCTTCTGCCAACATAACCGTTCAAAAGCACGTAAAAATGCAAGTAGAAAAATAGGGACCACTTTGGTGAGAAGGTAACAGCATTCTGTGCACCTTTGGCATTTATTCATGCTGACCACATGACGACGGAGATGTCTTCAGACAGCACTGGCTCTTTGGCTTTGAAACAGAGATGAGCATCACTCTCTTAAGTCAGAAATGACCAGCATGCATGTGCAGGGGAACCTTTACCTTTAACCTTCTATTGGGGAAAACAGTGTATCACAGGGCAACAATTTTTGAATCAAGGTATTTCAAATGGCTAATTTAAAGAATACATCCAAATTCAGGACCCGTTCTATGGGATTGAGATTTCAAGGATTTTAAGACTATTAACATTGGCAAAATTGTGCCACCCTGTAGCACCATTATGGTCAACTGAGGCCATGTATTCATAATTTCTGATCCTTCTTGCCAGCTTCCCACAGGCAAAGTCAATAGGGAAGATGCAGAAAGTTGGAAGTCACTCCTGCTCCATTGTTTTTTTGTCTACCCATGTTGATTCTGTTTTATCTATTCAAATATGAAAATATATCTAAAACTATGACACATAGATCATGGTCTATACTGTATTAGCTCTTTGCAAGAAATATGGAATCTCTCAGTAGCTTGCTAGACAATGGTAACCCCCCTGTGTCACTTTCTATATTGAATTAGTATAGATCACATTTTCTCACAAGGGAAAATATACAAAGTAGAGCTGTGTTCGTTTAATTCATTAAAAATTATTATCCCATCCTTTCTAATAATGCCCTAGAGCGACTGACAAAAATAAGTAAAATATAATTAAAAAATAATTAAAATACAATTTGGAAAGTAAAATACAAAACATACTTTAAAAAAAAACAACCTAAAAACATCCAAAAAGGAAGGAAAGCATGTCAATAGCAAATACAGGATAAAAAGACAGCATCTGTAGAAAGCATGCTGAAGTCAGAATCCTTATGAATGTTTAGGCAGCTGCTAACCTCCTTAATGTCAGTTACACATTATGTATGATATATGATCTATAAATAAATAAATAAAAACTATAAGATCATTACTACAAGAAATCATTCCTAGAGATACATTTGGGATCCACAAACCATTTCCAAAAATGTTTACCTGGATTTTGATTTGAAACTTCCAGATGGTACTGAAGGCTTTGAGGACATTAAGGGTCTCAGTTTTAGTCTCTTTATCCCTATCATCCAGGAAAGAGACCACTAATTTTATGTCATCATTGGTGCAACGACTTGCCTAGGAAGTAAGAAAGAATCAATCACGTGACTAGGCACATCAGCCTTATCAATCACCATACTTGAAATCCGGCAAATATGTCATATTCACCATAACACCATCTGACCTGTATGATGTAAGATTTGATGGCTAAGCTACCAATTCACAGACCAAATATAGCATGGCTGTCAAACTCACCGTGTCACATTGCCATCACATGATATTTCGCACCTTTTCCCCACTTTGTGGAACTGGGATGGGTGTGGCCTGCATGTGACGCATCTGGCTCGCGGGCCACCAGTTTGACACTCCTGATATAGACAGTAAAGTGGTAACTGTCAAGAGGTATGCAATACATTTCTATTGACATTGACCCTGGAGAGTAATTCCGTTTCATGACGGGAATGCAGATCTTGGGTGCAGGGATGGCATAATCTGCATTTTACTGGAATAAATGCCAAACCTGTCCTATGTCTTTATCAATTCCACCCACCAAAATGCATGCCATCTTGAGTTTTTTTATATCCCCTATGGGTATGCCTGTGTAGGATAGCCTGCCTTCTCTCACCCACTAATATGTTTAATTACAAGCCCCATCAACTCTGCACTATGTCGAGGGGAATTGTAGTAAAACATATTCTGAGAGCTTTAGTTTTGGCAAGACTCACATAGGATCAAGGATCACTGGGCAAGTCAAATGGAAAGAGAGTAAAAAAAAATTCTTACCACTGAAGTTGCTTTGGAGTTTTTGATTTTTATTTTTGAATGGGATTTGATCTCTAAGCAAGGGGACAAGTGCTTAATTTACACTTAATGTCCCCAATTTCAAAAAAGAACCGAGGAAATCAATTGATCTTCAAAAGACCTCTGTCTTGTAGTCTGAGTACACACAGATCCCAGGCTTATCCTGGGATGAAATATATCCTAATTACCTGCATTTAAGTGTACATTAGGACAAAAGTAGTCTCCCGTTCACATTCAAGGACTTTATGAATGATGCACATTGCAGAAACTGAACAGTAATTCTAATATCTATTCCAGGTCCGGCCAAAGTCTGATTTTCCCAGAAGTCTGATGTACAGATAGGAACTGTTCATTTTATCAGTTGTGATCTATTCAGTGGTGAGATTCAAATAATTTAAAAACCAGTTGTCTGCCCTAATGATTTCTTCCAACAGCCAGTTCACCAAACTGCTCAGAAACTTAACAACCCGTTCTCCCCAAATGGTGTGAACTGGCTGAATCCCACCACTGGATCTATTACCTTTCATTTTCTGTTGAAAATCTAGCTTAATTTTTCTCAGTGAAAACACCTTAAGTATCTCTCAGTAGAACATTAAGCTGATCTCTGCAGAATCACTCAGCCCCTTCTCCAGAAAAAATACACAATCTTGGAAACTGATCTCTAATGGAATGAGGGAGGGTAATAGTGGAATTTTAAGGCTGAAGATATTGAGCTATACACCTGGGCAGCTGCATAAGATTCAACCTTTCTCATCACATTCTACATCATGTCCTGTAAGGTAGGACTTTCACCTCAGATTCCTTCAAGGAGATACACTGAGCGATATCACGAAGTGTCCTCCTCTTGGTGTCATCATCTAGGTTGGGACTGAGGGACATCAGAAGCCGAGTGAGCTCTCCTGGAACACTTACTTTTACAGATGCAGTATAGAAAGAGTCTGTAGATAGGCCTGGAAGCAATAATTCAAAAATGAAATTCCAATTCCATGGAAATCAAAGATGGTTTAAAATTTCTGCGAAGACATTTTTGCACTGGAACATCCTGCATATACAGGTAGTCCTCAACTTACAACAATTCATTTAGTGACTTTTTGAAGTTATAACAACACTGAAAAAGTGACCTTTGACCATTTTTCACACTTACAACCATTGTAGCATCCCCATGGTCACATGATCAAAATTCAGACACTTGGCAATTGTTTCATATTTATGCAGGGTCCCAGGATCTTGTGATTATCTTTTGTGACCTTCTGACAAGCAAAGTCAATGGGGAAGTTAGATTCACTTAACAACAAAACGTTAGGTTACTAACCTAACAACTGCAGTGATTCACTGAACAACAGTGGCAAGAAAGGTCGTGAAATGAGTAGAGTAGAGTAGAGTAGAGTAGAGTAGAGGAGAAGAGAAGAGAAGAGAAGAGGAAGAGAAGAGAAGAGAAGAGAAGAGAAGAGAAGAGAAGAGAAGAGAAGAGAAGAGAAGAGAAGAGAAGAGAAGAGAAGAGAAGAATTCTTTCTTGGCCAAGTGTGATTAGACATACAAGGAATTTATCTCCAGTGCATAGGCTCTCAGTGTACATACAAGCAACAAATGATAAATCATGATCATAATCATAGCACAATCATCACAACTCATAAGATACAACACTCAGTGATAGTCATAAGATTAAATAAAAGCAATCAAAATAATTCTGACACAAATAACAAAGTGGCATTATAAGATGCTAAAAGAATAGACAATAGGAAAGATGAAAAGGATTAAAAACTCTGCCAATATTGTTATTAATATATGCCAATCTACAGTACTATTACACTGGTGTATTACCAATCTCTGCATTTCAAAAGGAATATTACAGAGACAAAAAGGTTTAAAAGGGCATCCAAAAATAAGCTCTCTAAGAAAATGTTGCAAATTTTTGGAGCTTTTTACTTATGTACAAGTAGTAAGCAAATAAAAGCATTGCTTCATAGGAGAAGAGTATAAAATTAAAGAAAACAGAAAAGAGGAAGAATGAAATGTTATGATATTAGAACTTGAAATCATAGTATTAGAAGTATTTATTCCATTACAGCTAAATTTCTCCTTAGCTCCAGATTGGATCTCTCTGTAACTAGCTTCCCCCACATTGCTTGTTGTCCTGCCCTCAGATGCTTTGGAGAATAAGCCGACCCCATCCTCCCTATGACTGCCCCCCCAAGTACCAGAAGACAAATATCATGTCACCCCAAACCTTCTTTGTTAGACTAGACATACCTAATTCTCTTAACTGTTCATCATACAGTCCCCTTACTAGTCCCCTTATCATTTCTGTGTTCTTTGCATTCTTTCTAGGGTCTCAGCATCATTTGTGTCATTGATGTCAAATCTCTCTTCCACCCTCCCCTCCTCTACTTTCAATTGTGCCTCTTTCTATTACAGTGTCCTTGTATGGTTCATGCTGGGTTTTTCTTGGGAAAAAATGCTTGACTAGACAGGTCATTAGGTGATACCTTCTAGCCAATCTTGACTAACCTTGAAAATCAAGCAAAGTCAGTCTTGGTTAGTATTTGCATCCAAGGCCAATGTTGGAACTCAGAACAATTGGTTAAAGTGAGAAGTTGAAAAAAAAACATTATGGAAGAAATAAATGTTTGGATGGATGTCATAATCAGCAGCCCAGCTCGACTCAGTGGGTCTTTAGAAACCAGATACTGATACTGTTTTGCTAGCAGGGATACATTAATGCAGCATTTGTTTTAAAATGTGGCTATAATAAAATGGCAATGATTCTTTGATAGCAAAAAATTGCTTTAAACCTTTTGACATTCCTGCTCAGGACAACATGTCTTGTACCCCCATTTCTCCACCTTACATGGCCTTACAGCTGCCATATGCTTCTTTTCCCAGTGACTTTTGACCACATAAAATATAGTTAGCAAGGGCTTCTTGTGCATTTTCCAGTTCTCTTTTTCTCTCCCCTTATTTTATTTTAGTTCAACAATCAAGATGACTCTTCAGTGGTAAAGCAAACGTAATAGCCACAGTGTTCCAGGAAGAATCAGAAAAGGTAAGTGGGAAGGGGAAGGTTGTCAATTCAGAACAACCGAGCCTAAAAGCAGGATGGTATTTTGCAAATAATAGTCAACACTGGAAAGGTGACCCAGAAACAGGAGAAACAGGAGAAACATGAGAAGTGGTTGAGAAGATCTACTGCAGACGGGAATATCAACCTTTTAAGGTATTTCCCATTTCCACTACCTGCATAACTGCTAGACTGGCCTTATAATTTGGCACCAGTGCCTAATAATTCTTCATACTCAGATGATGATAAGTGGTTGGAGATTGGGGGTGGTGGTTGGATTGCTACTGAGAGATTGAGAAACTGAGACCCCATCCCATCCCACTTGAAACTAGAAGGAGACTTCTAGACTGAGGAGAGGAGAAAGACATATCAGAGATAGAAATTCTCCCTTACCAGTTCCTGTTGTCACAATGAGATGGGCATTCCTATTATCAAATCTCCGTTGCCTGAAGTTGAATAGAAGACTTTTGGACTGGGGGAAACCCTACCCATTTCCTGCTATTAGGAAGACAAACATTCTCCTTCTTCTCCAGGAAATCAGGAAGCAAAGATACTTTGACAGTCCCAGCCAAAATACAGATGAAGGCTTGGGGTAGACATTGGCCCTTGCAGTTCCTCATGCCTAGATGAAAGAGGGGAGACACCTTAGGGTTCAAGGAAGGTGGAGAATTCTAGGGAAGGAGAAACCTAGAGAACTGATATGAAGGTAAGAACTGGCAAGATTAAAATCAAAGAGCTTGAGATGAATTGGTCCATCTAAACAGCAATAATCAGGGGTCAGGTGTTTGTCACCATGATAAAAGATTGGCTGTCAATCCATTACAGAATAAAGGTAGGAGAATGAGACAGGATTTAAATATGCAGCACTTCAATCCTACAGTTTCCAGCAAGGCTTCTCTAGTATCTGAAATGGCCATGAATCTCCGATTGTGAGACTTCTCATCTGGATATCAGTCTCAATGAAGCCTGGCAGGAAGGAAGAGAAAGAGAAGGAGAGCAACAGCAACAACATACATTGTGAGCATGTTCAACTCTTATTTCATTTAACTCACTGGCTAAGTTCATTGAATCAGGGTTGTAGGGGGGGCTTCTTAGAATTGCTAGGAGAGCCTTCGACACCAAATAGATGGCTGTAGCTCCAGTAGCTGCAGATACCATGTTGTTAGAAGTTATCAGCTCATTGTACTTCATATTGCTTTAAACTTCCAGGAAACCTGATGGAACCCTGACCTGACTACAGGCCAACCCATCCTTCACCTGTGACAATACTACACTTCACATAGTTTGTGGATTGTGATGTCACCTGTGTGCCCTGCATGACAACTCTGGCACATCATCACCATCATATGGGTTGGCCTCTGAATCTTCTCTCCTCTTTCTCCTAATATCAGGAAAATACCATGAAATCTTGAGAGAGAATTTATTGGCATTGTATTTGGAATGAAAAGATGTTAAGGAGAATAATTAGTTAGTAGAAGAAGGGACACGAAAGGTTCACTAGCTCAAGCTCTAGCATTTTTCTACCTATAGAGCAGGGGTGAAATTCAGCAGGTTCTAACAGATTCTGGAGAACCAGTAGCGGAAATTTTGAGTAGTTCAGAGAACCAGTAAATACCACATCTGGCTGGCCCCAGAGTGGGGTGGGAGTGGAGATTTTGCAATATCCTTCCCCTGCCACTCCTACCAAGCCACGCCCACAGAACGGGTAGTAAAAAAAATTTGCATTTCACCACTGCTATCGAGGGAGTGGGAAACAATCAAGATAAAAAAGAGTCCTCTGCATGTTACTTTGGAAAATCACTGTCAACAGAGAAAATCAGCTCTCTCCAAATCATTATGTTGCAACTACTTGAAAGTCCGGCCAGAAAACCCCCCCCCCCCTTACACACATCATATTCTTTGGGAATATGAAAAATCCTCTTTCCATAAATACTTTGTTGAAGAAGAATTTTAATGTTCAAAGTGTAGATGTTTTGAATTCATACTTTAGCTTTTAGCTTTCTTTTCTTCTCCCTGCTGCTCAATTGTTTGTCTTATAAATGTTTTGCTAAAGTGTTATTATTTTGGAGGGGATTATTATTCCTTTAATTGTTTTACTATTTGTAAACCAGATGAAGTTGTTTTTGTAGAAGTATAATTGCCACCAGTAAATAAGTAATAAATTGCCCATTCTGGTGGATTTTGTATATGAGCTGTATCTCAAAGGTAAAGGGATGAAATCTTCTTTATTGTCGAAGGCAGCAAAATATTTTGACTACCCTTATGTGTTTTCATAACAAAGAACAAAATATAGCTACTGGATATAACCACACTTACTTTTTCAGAAATGAATTTAATGTGGCATTTAAACACATGCACACACAAATCTGTTTACTAAGAAGTAAGTCCCACTATGACACATTGCTTAGTAGATGAGGGTATGATGGCACCCCATATTGCTGTAATTATGCTTCATTTTTAAGGCTGATATACATTTGCTATGTTTTTAGGTCTTCGAAGAACATTTGGGAGACTCCAGAAGAGGGCAGCAAAACTCTTGAGTTGAGTGACAGCCCTTCTACTCCCAGGAAACAGTGTTTCTCTAGGCTGTATCCCAATGAATCAGAAAGAAAAAGCTGCAGATGAACTAAGCCAATTCTTTGGAAATTGGCCTTTGTCTCCTTTGAGGAGTCCCCCACCACCACCACCGCCTCAAATCCAGCTTTCCTGATCTCAGATGGAGATCATGACACAAGGTGACAACTCTATTTCTCTAGTCTGAGAATTCTAATAAGAAAAGTATAAGACCACACACAAAACTCAAAAGATTGCAATAGTTATTCATACTGGCTGACTGGGTTTGCAATCTAGTTCCTTAGGGTACCAAAAAGCACTTCCAGATGATCACATTTTCCCCCTGTCTGAATTCTTCTGAATGCAGTTCAAAACACACCTGAGAATGATCCAGACTGTCTTGACAATTTCCAGAACCATTTGGACAACAGGATGTTATAACCACAGGATTGTTTCTATGTTTGAAAGTCTGCAGAGATCTTTCAACCCACCAGCTAATCAGAGCTTGCTATTTCTTGCTAGTACTTGAGAACAGACCATTGTCAGGTAGTTGATACTCACTACTGGCCAGCTATTGAGTACCTTATCCTCTCCCTTCAGGTCTCTGTTAAACACCCATCTTTCCTTCATCCACAAAAATAAAGGATTTGTTTTTATTATACATTTTCCATTCAACAAGATTTATCTTATCATGCAATGGTAAAATCATGTAAGGGGATAAAATGTAGTATGTTTCAAGAATCCTTTGAATAAGAACACAGACCAGTGGTGCAATTCAGCCAGTTCTATCTGGCTCAGGTGAACTGGTAGCAGTGGCAGTGGGAAGCTCTGCCCACCCACCCGGACATTATCACGTCCTGTTTTTGATGCTCTGCGCATGCGCAAAAAGTCCTGTGCATGTGTGGAAGTGGCTCTTGCCCTCACTTTTGTGAACCGGTAGCAAAGGCAAGTTGATTTCACCCCTGACACAGACTATTCCTGTAAGCACAAGGCAGTGCATTTGCTGTTTCTGAAGCCTTTTCACACATAGCTATGTCACTAATCAAGGCTATAACAAAACTGTTCGTGATTGTAAGTCCCAATGACAGCATCATGTGATTAGCCAGGGTCTTATCTTGCATGTGGTATAGAGTGATGCTTCAGTTGACAGACCTCTTAGAGATGTGGATCAATACTGAATGTAAAAATTTGGCAAATAGAAGTCTGATATAAGGTCCTATTCCTGAAATGACCCCCCCCTTGTTCATATCCCTATTTCATGCTGAAGTAGATTGCAGCAAAGATATGATGCAATTAACACATGAGAGGGCGCTGAACAGCAATTCTGGTGGGACTCCAGCATTTACAAAAAGTACACAATAGTGTCAGAAGAGTATCCTAAGGCATGAATCCTAAGCAATTTCTACTAAGGATGTGTTCTGTTTCCAGGAAATATGGTGAAAGACAAGGAGAAAATTAGGGGACCAGATAAGATCAGCATCAATGTTGTGATGTAGCACTTAAGATGTCAGCTTAAAACAAGGGGGTTCACTTCTGCAGATTTGAGTTTACTTTCAGTGATGGAAGCTTCCTAGATGATGTTGGGCCAGTCATCGTCATTTAGTCTATTTTATTACAAGGTTGCTGTGGGGAGAAAAAATGGAGAAGGGAGTACATTGTATAATAAACAAGCCAGAGCCCCTGGAGACAGGGAGGGATGTAAGTCTAACAATATATACGATAATAAAATTCTCCTGCAAGTGCCACTTGTGAGACGGTGATTTCATTAGCAGACACACACAAATAGTTTTTCAACATCTAATGATTTACAAATGGTGTTTGCTGACAAGACTCTATTGTAGCAGTCCCTAGGATCTCACCAGCAGCTTAAGGAAAACAAGTCTGAGGCTTTTGCAAGACAATTGTCAAATGATTCCAGAGGCACCCTTTTGTATACATGTCACTGCCATCACACACACAAAAACTGACACACAGGCACACATGTATATATAAGGAAAAAAAGATTGTAGGAATGTTACAGTCAACTTATCGGTCTTTCACTTTCTCCACAATTTAAAAAGAAAAACAAATTTGCCCATGGGAACAACTCCTTCTATGTACTGGCCTTGAGGGTGGATGCAAATAGCTTTATGCTGGATCGAAGAACTGATGTGATTCAGGCCATGCAAAACAACTCTATAACCCAGGCAAACAACTCTGCGACCTACTGTATGCATCTTGACCCTTCCTAACCCAGAACATCTTATTCAACCTAAAAATAACTCCTGCCATAAAATTCTGCTTGCACAAACATTTAGCTCCCCAAATCACACACCAGCTCCTATTCGTTGTTCATTGTCCACTGTCACATTATCATGGCAAGCTCCTTCTTCAACAGTTTTTTGCTTGGTAACACCTCTGTATAATTTTTCTTAATGTTCTCAGAGAGACTTTTTATGACAAGGGTTGTTTATTTCATGGCATTATTGGAGTCACTCTTTAATCACCATCATTTCCTAGTGAAGCTGTTGCTAAGGTTCTTGATGCCCCGTGTTATGTCTATTCTTAACTTAATGAGCACATTTGGCAGAACGCTTCCTCCCACCCTCTGATTATATCGTGAAAAATCCCCACTGGATTTCACAGGCCTCACACAGCTGGCTCTTTAAGAAATATCCTATAATTGATAACCACCCGAACCAGTATCCCTATGACTTTGTGGTAATGGCTCTAGAGAGAGATGTTAAGCCAAGGTTCAATAATTGAAGCCTCTAGAGCAGTGTTTCTCAAGCTTGGCAACTTGAAGATGTCCGGACTTCAACTCCCAGAATTCCCTAGCCAGCATCGCTGGCTGGGGAATTCTGGGAGTTGAAGTCCAGACTTCAAGTTGCCAAGCTTGAGAAACAGTGCTCTAGATATTGAGAAGGGGAGGGTGCACTTAAATGGGCAACCTAGATGCTTTTACTGGGAAGTTATAGTGGTGACCCTGCTCACTGGGTTGACTGGAGGCCCAGGACTTCTCCCTGAAGTCTGATCCAGATGCAAACATTTAAGGATGACTTTACTGTTTTTTGCTACATGATAATCATGAATAAAAGGGCTTTATTCAACCTCTAACAGATGACCAAAGGAAGATTCTCCATAATTTCTCCTCAGAAATTCTCTGCTTTTACTTGCAGGAATGCTCAAACTTGTCACTGGTGAGCACCATCTTAGAGAAGGCATCGTGTGTTCTCCTCAGCTGAGGCAGGAGCTTCTTTTAAAGTGATCTTTGCAGCAACACCTACAGGCAGCCTCTGTGAAGGGTGTCTGCCTTTCGGTGCCCCTTTCAAGAAATCCCTGTTCCAGTCACAGGTCAATTCTGCCGATTTCATTGATGCAGAATCATTTGATTAACCGATTAAGGTTCTTTTTAAATGCAACACAGGCGCTCCTCATCTGACACAGTTATTTTTCCCCCTCCCAAGCTCCCTATTCCCTGTCTATGCACATGTACTCAACCTTCTCAAGCCCACACAAATGCACTCACACATCTCTTGCACGCCTTCAGTACAGCTGCTCCCCCCCCCCGCACAGCAGCGCCTGCCTGCCTGCCTCCATTCCCCCACCCCCACTCTGCCCTTACAGGACCGTTTTTTTTCATACTCAAAGGTACAGGATGTTCTGTTCTTTCTCTCTCACTCACACGCTTACGCGCGCACACCCTCTCCTCCCCCCCCCGCCTGTTTCTGTTCCTCAATATCAAGCTTGGGGCCTTCACCTTTTTAACCCCTTCAGCGCCAGTTTGCACTAGGAGAAGCACGGATGACAACACAAACCCTGCTGCACCACCACCCCTCCCTCTGACAGGCTAAGCATTGCTCATTGCGGAGTCTGACAGGCAAATGTCGTGGCTTCTCAATTAGCAACCCAGCCTGCATTTACCAAGGGGGTTCCTAAAGAGTTGGGGGCCAGCTGGCAGGGGAGGCCTTGGGCAGGAAGAAGCATTTTTTCAGTGCTGTTGGCGGTGGGGCCAGAGAAAGCAACCCTCCCTCTTTCTTGACTCGACCCAGGAGATTGAATTATTTCGTCTCCTTGGGTCTCTCCTTCTGACCTTGCTTTGTCTCACAGGTTAGCTGTCCCTGACTAACAAGGTTAGGAAGAGGATGACGTAGATTCAACCGATAACACCAAGAGATGAGCTGGCAACCGCTGGCTGACTTTGTGTTGAAGGAAATACCGACATTTTTGCTGAAGAAGCATCTGGCCAGTCATCGCCTCAGTTTCTCTAAAGCAAATGACCCAGAACTGATCAGAACATCTAAATAAATTTGCACATCCAAAACCAGAACACTCCCCCCCTCCAAAAAAACTTCTATTTGATTTCAGGCAGATTACAAGGAAACAAATACAGTAGAACCTCTGGTCATGACCATAATTTGTTCTATAACATTGGTTGCAAACCAATTTGGTCGTGACCTGAACCTAATTTTGGAAATTTGGCGCTCACAAAAAAATGGTGCGGAAGGGGAAATTGGCTACAGGCGGGGGGGGATGTGAATTTTTTGATCCGAACCTGATTTGGTCGTGGTCAGAAGCATTCATGAAAGCATTCTATTGTAAAAATGCAAAATATTCATAATGTAAAACAAAAATAGGAATACATAGCGGCCAGGAATGATGTGACCTATATTATTCATACAACAGGAGATAGGTTCTCACCCATGCTAGGGCCTCAAGCTTGATCACAAGCCACAGGCCAACACAGATGGGGCCAATCTAATTGCGGGGGGGGGGTGATTTCTAAAGGATGGGTGCCACAGGAGAAAGAGAAGAGGCTTCTATGCCTCTTCAGCTGTCCTAGAGCATGCCCTTCTTGCCAGATTGGATAGAGGGGTAGAAACAATTGTGGGGGGGTCAGATTTAGATGTTTGACACAGACGCTTTCATCATATGCACACTTTTTGTGATAATACCTGGGTTTTGTTGGTATTCTTCACACAACAGCAGGAATTGGACTGGGGCTGGTAGCAGGAATACTGCCTATGAAGGAGGTATCACAGGAAGTACAGTTGAAAATGCATTCAGTGTGCACCATAGTACAATAACAATCTCCTCTTCTACTTAAGCTTTCTCACCTGACACATTCTGGATGAGCCTGTTATTTCCATTTGCTAGGCCTAGCCCTTTTTTTCTCAAGGACATTACTCACAGGGATACAAAACAGACCTCAAATAGAGTAGCTAGGGAATCAGTCCCACTGGATTTTTGACTCAAGTGGGAAAACAAAAGATTCAATACCCAACTCTCTTTCTTTCAAGGGCACTCATGTTTCTGCACACAACCCAGATCATCTACCAGAACCTGCCCATACTTAATTATCACACTTGGAGATCTTATTTTATGTGCCATCACTTGAAAGATACACATGTAGTGATATTTGAGATAAGGCCTTTTGATAAATTCACCCCTTCAGAGGATGGTGTTGAGATTGGCTTCTTTATTGTTTTGTATTATATTGGCAGTGTAGCCAGTTTTGTTGAGTGTTTTACGTCACCATTTTGTTTTAATATTAATACTGTTCTCATAGTTAAAGGTTTTTAATACTTTTTAAAAAATAAATTGCACACTACTCTGCATAACTGATGCAGAGCATGATTTATCAACACCGGGTTGCCGTCTCCACAATATTTAAAGCCTTTTTCAATTGCATAAAGAAGAGGAAAAGACTAGATTATGTGCACCTGACATTCTTCAGGCTATTTCTGCAGTTTTTAAAGTCGAAATATTTTGGAAGGGTATACATGGGTACTTAGTGTTAGTATAGCATTCACAAAATAGGCATGGGGATTCCTCATATCCTTATTTACACCATCTGTACATGTTTCTCAACTTTCACTGCAATCCGGAAACTGTTAGAAGAACTAGACCATGATATTAAAAGTAATTAGAGGGTTTGTAAAAAAGGAAACCAATGTGACCTGGAATAAACTATAAACAAACAAAGCTCAAGAATTCCTTTCAGGTGTCTGATTCTGCTTGCCAAAGTGAATTAAATTCTTGCCATTGACATAAACAGGAACAAACTTCCTATATGTCCCAGATGACTCCATGACCAAACTTTGTAAGGAATTCACATCTTTGCAAAAAGCATCTTACTAAGATTCAATCTTCAACCAACAGCTCTCCTGTACCTTGAACTTTGGAAGTTCCTCCAGAAATGAAAACTGCCAGCCATTCTCATAACTCTGCAGGGAATGATCCTTTCTCATCCACAGGTCATTCCTGTGGATGGAGATTGCTAGCAAAAGTCAGGATGCACTGATGCATCTTGCTATATGTCTGAAAGAAACTTTCCTGTTAAATGGAATGCCACAGCCTTCAAATAATACATTTTGAAAACAGTCCTGGAGGGATATATCTGGTCCCAATCAGCACGGTAATGAAACTCAGCTTCAGAACCAGAGATATTTATTTTGACACTCATAGAAGCATCATGTTCATATAGCAAATATCATTGGCTAGTGGACTGTGATACAATCAGATTTACATTCAAGCAGGGCTGGGATGCTACTGGTTTGGATCGTTTCGCCCGAACTGATAGAAAAAATGCTATCAGTTCTCCCAAACCAGTAGTAAAAACGATCAGCTGTGACATGAAAATACTTTCTATTAGCTAGAAAGCAGGATTTCGCGCATGCTCACATTTGTGAACTGGTAGCAAAGGTAAGTAGATTTCACCCCTGACTTCAAGGTGTGGTTCTATAGCAAGTTTTTACTCTCTAAGGATAACATGATGGTGGTTTCTCTTCTTGGCCCCAGAGCTTTGGCCCATATACATATTTTCATCATACCAGCATGGCTAGATTTCAACAGCAACAGGAAATGTAATTAAAAACTCCTGGAAGGCACCAACTTGTCTCATCTCACTAAGACAAGCCTTCTGTACATGTGCTGGCAGAGGAGGCCTGCTGCAGATCCCATAGATCAAGAAACTCTGGCTGGTGAGAGTTTCCAGGAGAAGAGTCTTCTTGGCTGTAGCATTAGCCTTCTGGAACATCCTCCCCCATCCGCACCCCACCCTGGGGTGAGGTCTGCCCCCACTTTCTATCCTATCCTTCAGGGCCTGAAGACCAATCTCTGCCAATTGGCTTGGGGAACTAATAGGGGAGTACCACACTGGTAGTGGCCTGCTAGACAAATTAGCTAGTAGCTAATTAGCCCCACTCCTCCTCCCCTTTCCCTCTTTATTTTTATTATTTCATTGCTTTGCTATTATGTTTACATTTTTTAATTATTTCCCCCTGTTTTACTGTTATAAGCCACTCAAAGTAGCCCCACAGCAAAAAGAGTGGCAAATAAAATTTAAAAATAAATAAATAAATATAGTTGGGGAAAGTTATACATCCTCCTGGGCAAAAATTCCAATTATTAGTATAAGACTTCAACAAACTTTCAATATAAGTTTCAATAAACCTTCCCTCCCCCATTTCTATAACTATATAATGTGCTTAATTGTACTGTACTGGCATTATCTACTAAGAGCCTTGATAACTAATGTTACCAGGAATAAGTTATGAGTAGCAAGTTCAGTTCTGAATCTTTTATTCTCCATTTCCATCAAAACTCTCCCAAGCCCTTGCAATGCCTATTTACTGAAGGGAAAATCTGCACAAGATTGCCAAATGCTCAACTTATATTTGCTTGGCTTTTTTGGTTTTGTTCTTTCAATGAAGTGCATTGGCTCCTATTTCTTTCTTCTATTTTTTTTAACCTATTTCCATGTTACATGTAATACTAAATGATGGGCAGAAATATTCAGAAGATAATGAATATATTCCACCAAAGTACTTGCACATTGAGGAAAGCTTCTATTTCTAAATGTCTACTTCTCATGCCCCTATTTTTTTTTTAAGTGAATATTCAATTGGCATCAGATGCCATTTTTACAGCAAAAATTTGCAAATGTTGGTAAGGGATAATTTAAGTCTAATATGCTTCTGGAAGAGAGCAGATTAGAAATCCTTGACCTAACAAGTGAGAGTTACCTTTCAGTCCTAACATTTTATTTATTTTGATTCATAATCAGCAAATTAGAAGGAAAAACACAATGAAAAAGGAAAAATAGCAGTGTGTTCAGTCTTGCCCATCTGTGCCTTGTTTCCATTGCAGAAACATAAAATGTAGCTATGATAGATAACTGAGAGAAGATTCATATAATAATCATCCATTCTTCTTGGGTATTGTTGCAGCAAGCGTATGATATATCTATTCTGAAGATCCCTGTAGAAATTACAATAGAGTAGGATATGATATGTGGTAAAGTGTTTCTATTTCCATTGAATGTTCCACCTTCTTTTCTTTTAGGATGTCAAGCTTTTTCTTCTTCCTTGTATAATTTTGATTCGTGTTTCCACCTCTTGGCAGTCCCTTTGTTCCTCTTCTTTCATAATAACATTCTGTTCTTCATCACTTCATTTTATCTAGCTTATCCTACATCTTTTGTTCCTCTCTTTTTCATTGCTATTTAAATGCCTGGTTTTTCTGTCTATGTTCTCTCTTTTCACGTAAGTATTCTAGACTATGCCATGAAACTTTCTTCTCAGGACATTGAAAATCTGTCACCCTTTGTTTGAGGAAGGTCTGGGTAATGACATTCTCTAGGTGTGCCACTCATCTGTAATCCTTGCCACATAATGTTTAATTTGGAAGAGTTCATATTTTGGGCTTACACAATGAATTTGTGGCAGGGTTTTTTTAAGGCTTAAATCTTAGCAGTGGGTAATTTGATGGCTAAGCCATACAGCATATGGCAGAAAACCATTTATGTTGTTGTTGTTAGTTGCAAAGTCGTGTCCAACCCATTGCGTCCCCATGGACAACATTCCTCCAGGCCTTCCTGTCCTCTAATCCTCCATCCTTTGGAGTCCATTTAAGCTCACGCCTACTGCTTCGGTGACTCCATCCAGCCACCTCATTCTCTGTTGTCTCCTTCTTTTTTTGCCCTCAATCTTTCCCAGCGTTAGGCTCTTTTCCAGTGAGTCCTTCCTTCTTATTAGGTGGCCAAAGTATTTGGGTTTCATCTTCAGGAACTGGCCTTCTAAAGAGCAGTCAGGGTTGATCTTTTTTAGGACCGACCAGTTTGATCACCTTGCAGTCTAAGGGACTTGCTGGAGTCTTCTCCAGCACCATAGTTC